CTGTAATTTTTTCCTGATGTCTGGAGCAGACTTCCCAATGAAGGCCATAACTACTGCTGCTTTCTGACGTGGGGTCAAAGGGAGTTTATCTCCTATAGGCATCCATTAGTCTTTCTAGGAACACAGAGGAGGGTTCGGTAGGTCCTTGAAGGACTTCTCTTACCTTAGCCAAATTAGTGGGGTGTCATGCAGCCACTCTGAGACCCGCTACGAGAGCCCGGCGGTAAGCGGATAGCTGCTCCCTACCTTCAGCAGTGTTATAATCCCAGTTGGGATGAATGAGAGGAAATCCCGCATCCATGGCAGCAGGAGTCTGGACTGGTTGTCCCGCAGCATCTCGGACATTTTTCCTGGCTTCCATCTGAATTCTCTCTCACTCCTCGGTAGTGAAGAGGACCTGGAGAAGTTGCTGGCAATCATCCCAGGTAGGTTGGTGAGAAAACATGAGAGACTCAGTTAGTCCAATAAGCCCCGTGGGGTTATCTGAAAATGAAAGATGGTTATTCTTCCAATTATAGAGGTCAGCAGAGGAAAATGGCCAGTACTGGAGGGGTTGGAGTTCTCCTGGCTCTGGGGGCCCTCCGTAGGCTCGTAAGGGGAGAGCCGCAGTGGAATCTGGGCTCTCTAGACCCCTCCGACTGCGAGTCCTGCATGCTGGTCTCTGGGGGGGCACTCTCGGGGATGGGGGGACCGGGATTAACCTGGCCCTGATATGAGGGAGGATTGTGGCGCATTTCAGGCCACTCAGGTGGACTTTCAATCTCAGGATAAATTTTGGGTGGTGCTGATGGTGCAGCTTCTGCGGCCAGAGGAACTCTGGACTCAGAAGTTCGGGTTTTTAGGGCTAATGCGCACGGAGGGGTGGTATGGTTCTTCAAAATCCAAGGTTTTACCCACGGCGGTGGATTCTGCACTAAATCTTGCCACACGATGATGTATGGCTGTTGGTCAGGATGCCCGTTTGGTCCTTCCTGGAAAACAAGATCTTTAACCACCAAAATGATTGTTAAGTCAAATGCTCCCTCTGGTGGCCAACCGACTCCCAGAGTGGGCCACTCAGAGTTACAGAAGGTTTGCCAAGGTCGTTTTTTAACATTAACGGAGAGATTATTAGCCCTGGTTCTTACGTCAGAAAAATGTCCTAACGTCAGGGTGTCATTAGATTCTGTCCCATATTAGTTGCCCACAGAACAGAGCAGACACTTACAAGAAATACAAGATACACAAGAAGCTCTCTTCATGACAATCAATTGAAAGCTGCTTCAGACGGGAGAGCCCTCCGGGCCTCTCCTCTCCGGTGGGACACTCTAAGTCCCTCAGATGGACCAGAGACTATTAAGCCTCTGGATTCATAATCCACCCAAAGGGACGTCTCCCTAGGGCCGTAACTCGTGGTATTTTTTCAAGCACATCAGCTTTCGCCACAGTCACAAACTGAAGGTAAGCTGAAAATAAAACAGACTTACGAACACACTGGTTTGGCGGTGCCGCACAGACAAAGAAACAAAGAAATTCTAGAGGATCCTCTTACCTCCAAGTGGCTGGCTGGCGGGTTGTGGGGGGTGGCCGCTCGATCCCAGATGAGCCCCCAAATGAAAGACCCCAAACTAGGGCTTTACCCAGACCGGGCGCGACCCCGAGCAACTCACACCAGATCCACTTGCTGTAATCACAAGAGGTTTTTATTGACGAAGCTTTGGGACGACTTATATCTCACACAAGAGACAGGGAAGTCGACCCCAAGCCCCAAAAAGCAAGGGAATTTATACTAGGTCTAGGGGTTCTTTGGCGTAGAGACAGCTCATTGGCTCTTTGGAAAAGGAGAAGTTCCATTTTAGGTCAGTTGTCTGCTGCTGACGTTAGTTAAAATATGGTTTTTGCCAGTAATCGTTTTTTCAGTTTGTGGTCAGTTAGTTCCTGGAACACAAACATTCACACAAGATCAAAGGTATAGGTTCTTACAATACAGATCAAAGGTATGGGTTCTTACAATACTTGGGTTTGGGAACATTATTTTTTTAAAAAAATTTTCCTTTCAACATAACATAATCAAATTCTCCAAATTAAAAGAATACTGAAAACAGTACAAGAAAAACAAAGAGTTACCTACAAAGTGGAAACAATTATATTAAGTTTTGATTTCTCAACATGTGAGCTAGAAGACAATGAGATGGTATATACAGAAAGTTGAAAGAAAACAGTTTCCAGTCAAGGATCTTATACCCCAAAACGTTCTCCATCAAATGTTGTCATTGTTGTTGTTATGTGCCGTCGAGTCGCTTGCGACTCATAGCGACCCTCTGTACAATAGCCCTAAACTCTGCTCTGTCCTGTGCCAATCGTACTGTCTCTGACACTCCCATCCCAATTATCCCAGTCACTGAATCAATCCACCTCATAGAGGGCCTTCCCCTCCTGCGCTGTCCCTCCACCCTCCCAAGCATGATGTCCTTCTCCAAGGACCGGTCTCTCCTCACAACATGTCCAAAGTATGTTAGACGGAGCCTCAGAATCCTTGCCTCCAAGGAGCCACCCGGTTTAACCCTTTCCAGGATGAATCTGTTTGTTTTCCTAGCAGTCCATGGTATTCTTATACTCTTCTCCAGCACCACAGCTCAAAGGCATCAATTCTCCTTCTATCCTCCTTGGTCATTGCCCAACTCTCTGATGCATAACAAGTGCTTGCGAAGACCATGGCCTGTATCAAACGCACCTTAGTCTCCATCAAATAAGAAGGAGAAATTAGATCCTTTGCATAAAGGAGGAAATTAAGGGATTTGTGGAAACAAGACCAAAACTACAAGAAATTTTAGGTGAAGTCCTTCACACGGAGACACCAAAGAAAAGTGGATGGAGCATAGTAACCAGAAACAACAGAAAAAGAAACACAGCAGAATGTCACCTGTAAAACTTGGCCTGACAATTATCCCACTTAATGTGAATGGACCAAATGAGCCAATCAAGAGAAAAAGAGTTGCAGGCTGGATTTTTTTTAAAAAAAGCCCATCTAGTGGAGAGAAATAGGGGGAGGGAGGGATTGTATAATAATGAAAGAATTTTACTTTCCAAAGAAAAGAGCGAACTGGGGGGAGAGGAGTGGGCAGGGAGAAAAATGCAATAAGCAATGAATGGAAATCTAAATTCTCTTTAAATATTCATTAAAATTAATAATTAAAAAGGAAAAAGCCCATCAATATGTTGCCTGCAAGAGACAAATCTAAAAAATGAAGAGAAAGACAGATTAAAAATCAAAAGCTAGAAAAAAGCATACCAAGCAAATGGCAACCTAAAAAAAGCAGGAGTGGCAATACTAATCTCTGATAAAATAGACTTCAGAATGAAAACCACAGGTGTGCGGTTCAAATCCATAAGATGCTCTGTTGGAAAAGGAGGGACAATCTCTTCCTGTACCAGTCAGATCCAATTTGTCGGCACACACACACACACACACACACACAAATAATAAAATAAAATAAATTTTTAAAAACCCAGAATGAAAACCACCCTGAAAGATAAGAAAGGGCATTACATACTAATTAAAGGCACAATAGATCAAAAAGAAATAACCTTGGTCAACATTCATGTACCAAATGATATACCTGCAAAATACACAAAACAATGGTTAACAGAATTGAAGAAAGAAATAGGCAATACCACGATAGTGGTCAGAGATTTCAACACACCAAAATCACCAAAGGATAGGTCAACTCAAAAGAAATTCAACAAAGACGCAGAAAATCTAAACTATACAACCAGCAAACTCGACCTTGTGGGGTATCTTCAGAGTACTTAAACTAAAACTCAATTCACTTTGTTTTCAAGTGCGCATGATACATTCTTCAGAATCAATCACATATTAAGATACAAACTACAGAAGCTCTGGTGGTCTAGTGGCAGGAAGCTGCACTGCAATCCCAGAGTAACATGCATCAAATCCACCAGATGCTCTGCTGAAGGAGGGACAATCTCTTCCTGTACCAGTCAGACCCCATTTGACAATACACATGCAAAAAATAATAAAATTTTTAAAAATTTAAAAAGAAACAAACTAACAGAGATCTGGTGGCCTAGTGACAAGAAGCTGTTCTGCAATCCCAAGGGCTGCGATTTGAATCTACCAGATGATCTGCTAGAGAAGGAGGTGCAATTTCCTCCTATACCAGTCAGATCCAACTCGATGGTACACACACACACACACACACACACACGGAAAAAAAGACATAAAGAAAGCCTCAACAAGTTCCAAAACATTGCATTAATAGAAAATACCTTCTCAGACTACAATACCATGGAACTAGAAATTAACCACAGAAGGGTAAAGCTTATAAAAAACCCACCCATGTGGAAACTAAATAACTTTCTGCTAGATCATGATTGGGTTATAAAAGAAATAAAGAGTGAAATTTAAAAGTTCCTTGAAACAAATGTAAATAAAAATACAACAGACCAAAATCTCTGTGATGGAACTAAGGCAGTTCTCAAGGCACAGTTCATAGCAATAGGCACACACATTAAAAAGGAAGAAAGGAAAAAAATTAAAATTTAAGAAAATTAAAAAAGGAAGAAAGAAGAAAAATCAACGCTATAACTCAACACCTTCATCAAATAGAAAAAGAACAACAATCTAGTTCTACAGACTCTAGAAGAAAAGAAATTGTAAGGACAAGAGTTGAAATCAATGAGATAGAAAAGAGAAAAACATTTGAAATCAATCAGTAAGAACAGGAGCTGGTTTTCCAAAGGGTCACTAAAATTGGTAAACCACTGGCAAACTTACCAAAAGGAGGGAGAAGAGAAGACACAGATAATGCGATTAAGAATAGAGGTGACATCACAACAGAACCAGATGAAATTAAATTTATGATACTGGTATACTATGAAAAGCTATACTCTAATAATAATAAAACCTAAAGGAAATGGACAAATTAATTGAAACTCATGCCCTACCCAAATTGACAAACACAGATGTAGAACACTTGAACAGACCCAAAATAAAAGAAGATATCTAACTGGCCACAAAAAGACTTCTCCATAAGAAGAGTCCTGGCCCAGATGGCTTCATACCTGAATTCTATCAAACATTCAGAGAGGATTTAGCACCAATCTGACTAAAATTATTTCAAAAAATAGGAAAAAAGGGAAACTCCCAGTCTCATTCTATGAAGCAAGCGTAACTCTGATACAAAAACCAGGCAAAGATATTATCAAAAAAGAAAACTACAGACCAGTATCTCTCATAAATATAGATGCAGAAATCTTTAACAAAATCCTAGCCAATAGAATCCAAAAGCACATTTTAAAAAAATCATCATGACCAAGTGGGATTCATAACAGGTATACCAGGATGGTTCAACATAAGGAAAACAATCAACAATAATTCACCATATCAAAAAAGCAAATAACAAGAAACATATGATCTTACCATTTAATGCAGAAGAGGCATTTAACAAAATCCAACAGTTTCCTGATAAAGACACTCGGCAAAATTGAAATAGAAGGGAATTTCGTCAACAAAGTGAAAAGTATATATGCAAAACCAAGAACTAATATAATTCTCAAAGGATTAAAACTAAAAGGATTTTCCTTGCATGCAAGGCAGGGGTGCAGTAAGGAAGTGCTTATGAGGTTTTCCGTCAATTCCAACAACTAAGAAATAGTGAGAAGACTTGGGACCGCAGAAGGCTTTTAGGACCAAATAGTAGACTCTTGTGTCCAGGAGAAAACAAATATACTTACCAGTAATGTTAATGCTCACCCACAGCTCTTCTGGGAGGACCTAATTCGTTGAAGCATCCTCTTTTGTTTCCAGCTGGGAGCTGGGGCCTGTCAGTCCTGTCTGCCACGAGGACCTGATGTGCGCCGCCCTTGGCCAAGTGTCCTTCTGATCCACACTTAAAGCTTCCTCTCTACTCCCTTGCCTATCTGTGGCTCTCGTCTCTGACACTGTCTACTGAAGTGGCCCAGCTTTCCACAGTGGAAGCAATT